GGGGTTTGGAGATATCGAACCTTAAGAGTCAATTAGAAACTGCCAGGTCAAAAGGTGTAACAGTTCGAGCCTTGGTTGTGATAAACCCTGGCAACCCAACTGGACAGGTGAATTGAATTTTTTATTTTAAAAGATTTGACATTGATGTATGTTTATCTTCCTCTACTGGGTAAACTTAGGAGGACTAATTAATTGCTGGTGCTTTGTGACTTTGAAAATTGCCTTCAGGTCCTTGCTGAGGAAAACCAAAAGCAAATTGTTGAATTTTGCAAGAAAGAAGGTCTTGTGCTTCTGGCAGATGAGGTGATATAGCTAATTATAGATATCTGTCATTATTTAGGCTATTTAGTCTATAGATAGATGCTAGATGAATCTCATGTTGAGTTTAATTTACTAACCAATTAGCCATTGCTTGTGCTTTGATGTTGTAAACAGGTTTACCAGGAAAATGTGTATGCTCCTGACAAAGAATTTCACTCATTTAAGAAGATTGCGCGTTCTATGGGACATGAGGAGAAGGATATTTCCTTGGTCTCCTTTCAGTCAGTTTCCAAAGGTGCCTTGCTCTTGTGCCTTTTGTGTAATATTGATAAGATTGATTGTGCTATTTGTATTAAACTAGTTTGTCTCTCTTTTTATTGTGGCTCTAGGTTATTATGGAGAATGTGGGAAAAGAGGAGGTTACATGGAAGTTACAGGTTTCAGTGCAGATGTAAGAGAACAAATTTACAAAGTTGCTTCAGTCAATCTGTGCTCAAATATTACCGGCCAGATCCTTGCCAGCCTTGTCATGAGCCCACCTAAGGTAATTTATTTTCCTTCCATTTTTCTGTATCTATTCTTGTTTTTTGGTTTCATTCCTTGTGTTTATTTTCCTTTCGCTTGGTGTGTGTGTGTAGAGAGAGCTAACATTACCACTATTTCGGTGACTTTTGAAGGGCTGTAATGCTAACATTATGCTTAGCTTTGAAACTGATGTTAATTCTTGTATCTTTAGTGCATTTTTCTTTGTTTCTAGAACATGCTTTTCATGCATTTCATGTGATCTAGGTTGGAGATGAATCTTATGTAGCCTATTCTGCCGAAAAAGAGGGAATCCTTTCATCTTTGGCTAGGCGTGCGAAGGTAATTCATATTCTTACTTTTAGAAATACTGATCATTGTATTTTTCATAAACTCACATTTTATTATTTCAACAGACACTTGAGGATGCATTCAACAGCTTAGAAGGCGTGACGTGCAACAAAGCGGAGGGAGCCATGTATCTATTCCCTTGCCTTCAGCTTCCCGAGAAAGCGATAAAGGCAGCTGAAGCAGAGCACACTGCCGCTGATGCATACTATGCTCGTCGCCTGCTAGAAGAGACTGGCATTGTTGTTGTTCCAGGATCTGGATTTGGACAGGTTAGTTAATGAGCAAGCATTTAAGGTTTTGTTCTGCTACTGTTGGAAACTTTGAATTTCCAAACAATGTCATGTACTCTGGCCAAGGTTAGACAAGTCCTTACAATTACAATGTGGTAAAGTTATAAACCATTGTAGTTGTTTTCTGAAAAGTTGGAATGACTTGGTGGTAAAAAAAAGTGTAACTTGGAGATAATTCTTTGAAAGATGGGTTAATTCTCTCCCCTGTTTATTTTATTTCTGTTTATTGTTTACGGATGAGAGGTTGACCTTGTATTGTGTTTTTTTTTAAGGTCCCGGGAACTTGGCATATCAGGTGCACAATTCTTCCCCAGGAGGATAAAATTCCAGCCATTGTTGAGCGTTTAACTGTGTTCCACAAGAAGTTCATGGATGAGTACCGTGATTGAGAACATCTTACAAACCTTTCTGTTAGTCATTCCTGACCCAAAAGTTTGGTGAACTCACATGGATGTAGTTTTATGTACCATTGTTTTGGGAACTATAGTCAAAGTATGATTTTACTCTCATACAAAAATTCTGCATTTATGCAGTCAAAGCTATTTTTTAGGTTTCCTTAGCAACATTTAGCGTCATGGTTAGCTATCAGGATAAAAATGAGCATCATGCTCGAATAAACATTGTTGGATACGGAAAAGGTATTTTTGAGCATTATCAGCAAAAGTTCCCTTGAATAATTAGTGTTATCTTGCTGCCCTGTACTTTCTTTCGTTCTTTTTGTATAACAGTACTGATGTGCTCAGCAGGATGACAAGGTCGGTGAAGGGAACCTCTGTTCTGAATCCTGATTTAGGTATCAAGGCTTGAACTCTCGACTTTGAGGTTTGATGTATATCACTGCGAATACCTCCATTACTGTCTAAAAACAGTGCTATTGAGGACTGAATCGGCTTGCAGCAGCACTTGCGCTGCAGCCTGCTGGACATCAAATAGGTTTACAAGATTAAACTTTACATTAAACAGTTCTTCAGAAACAATTCGCGATTGTTTCAAATTTTAAATCTTGGGTGGGAAACTCTCATTGCTTCATTCCTTCGTAATTACGACTTAATTCTAAGCAATTACTTCGTATATTGGAGGTAATGTTTCTTTTTTTATACGTACAAACCTATGAAGTATATCGTATCACAGATTAGTATTAATAATAGTTAAAATTAATGTAATTTGACCACAAAGTAAAATGTGGCCTCTATCTCAGGTATGGAGATACAAGTAGTAATTTTTAAGGCAATAATTGGCTATCATACATTTTCTTGTTTGAGCTCTAAGCCAAATGTACGTGATATGACACAACACAAGGCTCGGGTGTTATCTATAAATGGGCCCTATGTCAAATTGGTAAGAAAACTTATCTCAAAAATGGTATGGATTTGCATGTACCTACATACACATAGCTATATTAATTTAAAGGACTCGGCCAACTAATCCATATAAAGGTTTATATCTCTTAACTTGGAGATTGTGATCGGATTAAACTATTAGGGTGCTCTTTGGGTTTGAGATTTGTTACCCTTCTCTTTTCTCCTCCTCCCTCGACTTGGATCAGGTTAACCTACGCATATTATCCTTTTAATAGAATATATTAAAAAAAAAACTACGAAGTATTATTTGATAATTAGATGAAGAAAAAAAATTAATGCGTTATAGTTAGGCAGCTAATAATAGACAAGTTATCGATTGTGCCAATACTTGACAAGTTATAGTTAGGCATAATAGTTGAATTATAATTATGCACATGAGGTCTACTCTACCATCTACATAGAAGACAACAACAATAGGAGGATTTTAGCAATCTAGTAGCTCTCCACTTCTCCAATGTTATGATTCCTTGGTAAAAAGTCTAAACAAGCCAATCTAAATAGGGATATTATTAAGAAAGCAAGTAATTATATGAACATGATGATTTTCCTTAATTAGCTTTTATGTATATCATGTACAGTTTACTATCTCTAGGTCTTTACAATGTACAAGTAGAAATCAAATCAATGTCAGTGTGTTTTGGACTTATTATTTTGTTTTGTTTTGGGTTCCCTGCTTATGTTTCTTGCATATGCAACACAAATCTTACACCACCTGACCTATGAAATCCTTTTCTTTCTTTCTTACCCGTGCAATTTACCTTACGAGTATTATTTTCTTTATTCTTTATTTACCTCTGTCAATGAAACTTTACTGTTAGTATCCTCTATTACAAATTAATACTTGTATATTTTTGAGATGATTAATATAACAATATTTGTTATGAATTTATGATTTATTGAATTTGTTTGTCATCGTTTATATATTACAAAAGGAAAATAAAAATAAAAAAGTAAAATAATTATATATGAATAATGTAAAAGTCAAATTGAATGAAGTTACTGAGTAAAACTCTTGTTTTGAGATTTGAGAATTATTTGGGGTGAATTCTGTTAGAAAATTAGGTCTTGAATCTTGTATTACTTTCACTTTGCTTGTTATATCGCTTTCTTATTTCTCTTTTAATTGACGTTGCAATTCCCAATGTTCACAATAACCTCTGTGCAACGATGTAGTCTATGCCTTTATAGCACATCATGTCTATTACCTACAAGGCTACAAGCCTACAATTATTGATATTGGAGTACCCCAGATATACTTGTTCTTATCTTGAGTAAGGGTCTGTTCTGATTAAATGAAGTGAACTGAACTAAATATTTTATAAGAGAAGGAAATTAAGATAAGAACTGAATTGAACTAAATATTTTATAAGAGCTGAATTGAATTGAACTAAATATTTTATAAGACCTGAACTGAACTGAAAATAAGTTAAAGAGAACAGGCTCTAAGTGAATGTAATTGGTAAGAAAAAGTCCTTGTTTGTTTGAACTTCTGAACAGAGTATAACTGAGCTTCCAACACATTGCAGAGTAGTGTAGAACAAAGCTCAGCAGAGCACATCTCAGAAAAACAGGACTTTATTCGTCAAATATATTGATGTCAATTTAGTTTAATATGAGTAAAGTGTTAAAGATGTTAATACTCATAGTATATATGTAATGAAAATCTCTTTATATTTTTCTCTCAGTTTTAAAATCACAAAGTATGTTCTTTCTCTTAAATTTTCAAATTCTGACAAATTATTTATTTCCATGCAGATTAGTCCTTAAATCTCTTAAATTAAAATGTTCAAAAGAACATTGTTCTTGTGATTCCGTGACATGTGAAACAATAACGTACTATATCAGCTGATTTTCAGGCTAACAAAGTCTGTAATACAGATGTAACTTGACTATTGTATTATCCCAAAAATTTAATACAAGTATGAGTCTAGTAAAAGTACGGATCCCCCAAATAGTAGCTAGAAGCTAGGAATTGGTAAGAATGATGTTGTGAATTTTTGAACCCTGATATTACGTCTAAATGATTTGTGACAATTACTAATTTTATTCAAGTCTGATTTCCTAGAACAATAGTTTATTTGCTATTTTTGTCAAATACAAAAATCTTATGATTAACTAATTTGAATAGCTGAATGTGTTATTACTAATAAAATTTATCAATACTGAAATTCTTCAATATATGTAGTCAAGTTTGGTATAGTTGGTGAGAAACTTAACTTGTAATCTTGTTAGGATCGTCCTTACTATATACTAAACATTTGTACTAGTATATAGAGAAAAAAAAATTTGTACTCGTATGGGAAAGACATCTACGGAGTATTGTGAATAGGTGTTGGAGCTAATAATGTAAATAAACTAAAAATTTTCATTTTTTTTTATGAATGTTGGTTGTTATTATTATGACTACTAATTAGAAGTACAAGGGAAGCAGCCACATGATACAATATGCGGAGAGAGATGGGAATTATGGTGGTGGTGGCTCAATATCAGCTTCTGGGCTCGTTCACTGGCTTTCCTTGTTTGCTCAGAGTGCTCAAGCTGGGCAGCTACTCTCCATTCCTCGGCTTTTCGATGAACAATTGCCATTCTTCTCATTAATTTCTCTTCTAAATCTGACCTCATTTTCTGTATTTTCACCTGTTTATTTGTTGCCATACAAACATGTTTCATGAATTACTTGAATAGTTGAATATAAAGTAGTTATTTAAGGAGTAAAAGCAATTTTAATAACATGCATAAACTAAGAGAGGGAATATGAAGTGAGAAATATGTTTTGGGATAGAATGACTATTGACTAAAATAACAATCAATAATAACGTTCCGGCCAGATAATTAATAGTCATGATAGCGAGCCAAGGAGCTCAAGTTTAAGGTAGCTCAGCTCGGCTCTAAGCAACCTAGACTTGTACTCAAGTTGTTGAGCTCAAAAACATAAAGCTAAGCTCAACTTGAGCTCAAGCAAATTAAGATCAAATAATGTGCATGCTCTGATCAATAGAAAAACTTTCAAGTTACCATATTCTGATTTCTAATACTTGCTAATGGTTTAAGAGTTTCACGACGAGTATTTTCAAATTTTATAGTCAAGTCACAAGTCGTTAATTATTTTCTTTATTGAAGTCACTGCACGTATATCATATATGAGTCTAATAACAAGTATTTTTAGTTGAGTGGAAGTCAAGCTTTGATCATGCCAAACTCAAATGATTCACAAGCAGGATATATAGGTTCTTTTTCACTCCTAGAATAGTAAAAATGGTTAAAAACATGTCTTCTAAATTTCTATTTGTAGCACTTGTGTTTGATAATTCGAGCTTTTTTTTTCAATTACTAAATCTTCCATACACGTAGTAGTATATATATTCGATCGATACAAGAACTACCTCACATGGGAGTACACAACTTACAATATAAAAACAGCTGTCTTTAGACTCTTAACATGGAAGGTCTCAAGTTAAAGTATTCATAGTTGCATGACTTCTATTGCTTAGAGTTAAAGTATGTTTTTGAAGGACCAATTTAATGTAAAGTATAGTTGGATTTTGGAAGGTACTTAGGAAGAAAAAGCAACAAAGAAACCAATTTTAAAAAGGATGATAATTTTATTTTATGAGGAAGGATATTGTTTACATGCTGTGCTTGGCTCGAGATGGATAATGCATGCTCAATAAAATTAAAAAAAGAAAACACCTTAAAACACAGTCTTCAAACTAAATCGCAGTCAAAATAATACATCAACTTAACTAATACTTGGGATTTGGTGTTTGTTTATTAGCACTCACACAAAGCTACACTTAAACTTACAGTATTTTAAATAATCTCCTAGTTTTAAGACCTAAATTATGGTGCTAAACAACAAACTCGAAGCAATAGACAAGATGACGAGCCATTGCTTTATGTATCTGTCATTCTTTCCCCGATCCCATGACTTAGGACCGGGCATTGCAATTGCAATTCACATGGGTATTTGTTTGTTAAAAACACTATAAACGGCCAGCATTTTAGTCACCTATGCAACATCTTTCAGAAAATTACTCCAGCAACAGGCATAAACCTGTTTCCTAACAAAATGCATGAATGCATATATATAATCTGCTTCCAGACTTTGATATGCTCAAACTGAAAGTAAAGTACTTTGTATTCCGTATTATTTAAGACCTTGGTTCAAACCTATTTTCTAATTACTGGATAACAGATGCATAACTACAAATATTGAACTTCTAGTAATTCTGGGGTGCTTTAAGAGCGTTATAGGAATATCTCTGGTACAAGGAAGACCCTTCAAGTTTCAGCTTAAAACAAAAACAATGCCACAGATTACGGGACAAAAAATAGTACCTCTAATTTCCTCGATTGAGCTTCTGCTTTGGCATTTTGAAGATTTAACCATGCTTGAATTTTGGCCTCTTCTCTTTGGTACCTTACAAAACCCAATTCATCCAATTTCAATAAACAATAGTAACAAATCAATTTAGAATCAAAACTTGTTACTCGTTAATATAATTATTTTAACTCACCTAAGACAAAATTTAGTCTTTTCCTCTTCTTCCCAAGCACATGCTCTGGATTCAGAAACAGAAACACTCCTCCTCCCAATTTCAAAATGCCTTAAGCTCTTAGATATCTCCTCTTCCTCTTCTTCTTTGGTACTCCAATTAGTCGTAACTGAATCGAATTGGGCTGACCCAATTCGGAGCTTGGCAAGGTGGCACTCTTGTAGTTGAGCCATGCTAATTGTGCTGGTGGGTTGGTCCATCAATGCTAGTGGACCGGAACGGCTAGCCGGAGTATTGTGCCGGATGGGCGAGGTGCTCTTGAAGGGTGTGGGACACCTTGAGGTTGTGGAGCTGCCTAAAGGAGTCATTTCAGTGCCAAAATCTCTGTGTTTCACCTCCTGATATGGGATCACTTCTGTACATGCATCTGTCATAGCCTTATTATTGTCAAGTTTGTGACTTTTGAACAAAAATGCCTCTTGTGTAGGCTCTGAGTATTTGAAATTGGTGACATAAGGACTCATTTCATCTGTAAATTTGTCTGCATTTTTTACAACAGTTTTGCTGTCAAAATTATCAAAAAATAGATTGAAAAACCAACAACAAAATCAATATTTTAAAAATGGGGATTAAAATATTGACAAAATCACAATTTTATTGCAGATTAATGATCAAATTACAAGAAAAATCCTTTGTTTTTTTTAACCTTTTTGGATTATATTAACACTAAAAATTGGGATTAATAACTTCATCTCATGTAAATTAATCTGCATGTTCAGTTTCATGACAACATTCGATCCAAATTGTTTCTTAGGATGAAAAAAGGAACAAATAACAAAATTATTAACACAATCCATCAGAAATTGAGCAGAATCATCAACTTCTACAATAGTCAGCAAGAAAAGTTCCCTGAATTCTGGAAAATGGGTGTTTAAATTATGAAGCATTCATAATGGAACACGAAAAGTGAATTAAAGGGAGGGAAATGATAATGGTTTAAAAGTACCCAAAAAGTTCAAACTAAAGAAAAATGACGTACCTTTTAGAGGCAAATCAGCAGGAATTATGACCCCATTGAAAGTGATAGCTGAACTCAATTGCTGTTGCTGTTGTTGTTGCTTCTGATAATAATGGTGGTCCTCCATAGAAGTAGCAGCAGCAGAAGCAGAACAATTAATAAACTTTGGCACTGTCTCTTTTGTAATCTTTTCTTCCTCAATTACCCTGAATTTTTCTGCAATTATTTCATTTAATATTGCCTTTGAATTTGAACCCACCTCATTTTGCTTCATAATCATACTATTTCCATGAATATTATTATGATTATGATTATGATTATTATTATGAGGATTGAAAGCATGATGAGCAGGGGATTCATGGCAAGAACCACCTCCGCTACCGCCATTGAAAAGCCATTTTTCAGCATCATCCCACTTAGAAGGAACACTTTTTCTTGCAACACTGAAGCTAAAAATAGGTCTTCCTGGTGTTGAAGGTGCCTCCATTTTTCTTGGCATTGAATTTCCAATAATATAATCTCTTCTTCTTTGAGCTGATTGAGTCCCATTGCTAGTATTCATTGGTAATGACTTTACAAAATCTGATGTTTCTTTCAGATTAAGCTTGCAAATTGGGTCTACTGCATTATTATTACTGTTTAATAATGCTTCAGCAAATGGATTTGTCTTTGTTTTTCCTTCTGATTCCTGCATTGAAAAAATTTGAACTTTTTCAGACTAACTTGAGTAAAATCAATAAATAATGAGTGAAAAACAAATGATTTTAAAAAGAAATAGTAAAGAAAGAGGTAAACCCAGAAAAGAGCAAACATTTGAGTTTAACTTGGTTTTTCTTACCATTTGGGATGGTGCAAATATAGGTGTGGGCTGATAGTATTTTGGGGTTGTGAGATCCATTTTTTTTTTTTTTTTGTGTGATTCTTTGGAGATGAAAATGGTAGTGACAAATGAATAATACTCTGGACCTGTATTATACTCGCTACGGAGTATTTAAGGAGAAGTGTCCTACGGGATTGATTAAAACCTTACACGGAACAACCGGCCCAACTTAGCGGACTAGGTCCTTGTTGTGGGGACTAGGGAGGTATTTGACCACCCAAAGAAATACTGATGAGAGTAGTTCAGTGATGCAGTAGAATGATGTGTTTCTTCTTATAAAATGGGGCTTTTACCTTTCCTATTGTAGTGATAATTGGACCACCTCTTTCTTTCTGGCTTCTCTTGCCCAAAACAATGTAACAGTGAAATGTTAGTCCTTTGGTTTGTGCATGACAGTCAATAGAGAGAGAAAAGGAAGGAAGATTAGGAGATATAGACAAAAATAGTTTAGGTACTTGTTAATCATATCATAAATGTGTATTTTGTGAAAAGAATAGGGTACTTTGGAAAGAGGGAAAAGTAACCCATGAGTAATGACAAAGGATGAAGAAAAGAGTGTACTTCTTGAAATTGTACTTGGTAAATGATTTTATATTGTATTAATGATTTGTTTACTCTTTTGAGGGAACATTGTTTATACTTGTAATGTGGTATTAATTTTGAATGATGATTGATTGTACTAATGCAATTGTAATCTCTAATTTTGCTTCTTCTATGGAGTACCTTAGAAGAAGACACATCATATATAGGTGAAAGAAGCTCAGAGTTTTGCAAGAAAGTGGACTCTCCATTTTCCCATCTGCCCAAAATGTTCTTTTATGCTTCTAAACTACTCCATATGTCCTCGAAAATGCACTTCCGAAAACATACAGAGTACTTCGTACTTCGTACTATATGTATTAACTCTCGAGAATTATAATTACCTTCAATCTATACCGTCTTAACCTCTTAGGTTGTAAATATTATGTAGGAAATCTAGTACTTCATTTTAAGCAATTTATACAACGAGTCAAATATAGCACTACAACACAGCAAAAATTCACCTTCACTCTATGGTTAAAAATTATTCACACAAATGACAAATAAAACTTCGTCACAAGGGTAGACCAAAACTATACAGGATCTCCTTGCTTGTCATGAGTAAGGTTGGACCATGCCATAAATCCTAGGCCTCTTTTATTGTTGTAGCCTTCTCCTTTTAGCATGGCCTATATCCTCTTTCCCTACTCTAGCACATTGTCATATGACTCATATCTAGGGATGAGCAAACCGGATACCCGGTCAAAATTTTAGGATCCGGACCTGGAATTGATTAGGACCAGACCCTAAAATTTGAAACTAGTACACCCGGGTCCTAAAATTTAAGAATTGGAATTGGTTCCACGAGGTATTGGTTCCGGATCCGCTACCCACTTATATACATAAACATTAAAATATAATACAAATCATAATATTTTTTTTGGTTTATTTTCACTTTTAGCATTTAATAATTTTCATATATGCATTAAGCTATTTTATTTATGTTAAATATTCATATTAATTATTTTTATTTTACTAATTAGTTTTTTTTTTTTTTTGAAACAATTTTACTAATTAGTTACATTCAACTTGTTTTTATTTTTTATTTCAAATATATTTAGTTTAATATATGTTGGGTTATTGTCAAATGGTTTCGGTTCCAAAAAATTGAGAATTGGAATTGGAATCGGTTGCAATCGGGTCCTTAAATTATTACCCGGAATCGGAACTATCGGGTCCAATTCCAATTTCGCAATTCTAAGTTTTAATTAAAGGAGTAGATGAGAAACAAAAAATGGTGAGATTGAATGTGGTGGGTGTGATAATATGTTGTAATCTTTTATGGAGTACATGTGAGTTATTATTATGAAGCAAATTTAAATGAATAAATTGTAAAAGAAAGTGGGACAAATATTAAGCCAATAAGGGATAAAACGATTGCACAAGTTAGACAATGTACATTACCTAGCCTTGACAAATTCCTACTCAATCCTTTAAGATTTAGATTCAAGATGTCTACCAATTAGCATGTCCTACATCAAAATAAATTATTGTGAGACAATTTTATTCGAAATATCATATTTTCCCACCACGGGTGCGATTAATTATAAAAGTATTACAAGTAATGCATAAAATATGAATTGTGAGTTGCAGCATATGGGCACATATGACTATGAGTTGCATACTTACATTTTGTACATTACCCAACTCAGTTCATTTGCATAGTCTAGAGAAAGTAATGCAAAATACAGTGCTAGAGAGACGTAGGTGACATGTTCAACAAATACTCGTACAGTTAACCGTATATAGTTTTTAGGGCTTACCGGTGCATATGTTCTCTTGGACATTTTGACAAACACCTTTAGAGCATGATGTTTTGGTGAATTTTGTGGAATTTAGAAAATTGGGAAGCAGTAATTTGGTGAATTTGGATGGAATTTGATTGGCAATTTTTTATGGCTTCAATGTTTACTCTCTGCTTAAAGTGGTTGATGATTTCATTGCAAATGCTGAAATTTTCAGTTCACACTTGTGCACCTACTAATCTCGAGTCACGAATAATTCTTTTTGGCATTTTGCCTTGTTGATTCTCAATAAAATTTCTAATAAAATATTGAGATCAATCATGGTATTATGAGAATTTAAAATGTTTACAAAGATAGCCTATCAAGGATGGAACTTAATTAAAAGAAATTGTTTCCTTAGTGTCTATTTGTTTGCTTTATAGGCTAAATGTGTTTAGGGCTTATTTTTATTTAATAAACTGAACTGAGTTGAATTGAATTGTTTATGAGAGAAGGAAATTAGGAACTAATCAATTGAAATTAAACTAAAGAGAACAAAAGGTTTACCCTCCAACACTATTAAGGGCATGTTCTGTTCAACTTATTTTCAATTCAGTTTCCAATTTTCTTCTCTCATAAAATATTCAATTCAGTTCATCTTAGTTCAATAAATCAGAACATGCCCTTACTCCCTTTGTGTTTTAATAAGGGTCTGAAGTTCAATTCAGTTCAGTTCAGTTCCTAATTTCATTCTCTCATAAAATATTCAATCCAGTTCAGTTCAGTTCAGTAAATCAGAATAGGGCCCTAAGTGTAACACTTTGACCGCACACGCATGTTGAGCCACAATTTTTACCATGTATCTACTTATATGTTAGTAAAATCATAGGAAAATTGATAATTAAAGTATACAATATGACAAATCTAACAAAGTATTACACATAAAAATTTTTTTTTTTAATTTTTTTTCTTTTGAAAGGGTAAGATAAACTAAAACATTAGAAAGCCCTCCTCACGAGGAAATTCCTAATATAATATTTTTTATTGAAGTATTAGTATATTAATCAAGTAATAATCACTTAATAAATAGTAAAAAAAATCAAAGTGAAATACTTATTAAAACACGGAGAGAGCAGACATAATTTAATCTTGAATTTTGAATATCATCCTTCAAAATTTGAAGCCACTAAACTAGTTAGTATTTACGAGAGCATAGTTTAATACTTTAACAAGTTTTTGGCCCGGGCGATGCCCTGATTCATTTTTTGTATATAAAAAAAATTATAATAAATTAAAGTGAAATTTATTGGTAGTTTTATAATTTTACAATTTTTTTTTGATAAATATTACTTGTAACTTTTGTACTTCATATTAGTTTGTTTTATTTGTTAAAGGAATTTTTATCTATCATTAAAAATTTCATCAAGGTAAACACATGTTGTGGTTTTGAAATTGCTATGTATTTTTGTGTTGCATATTTTAAATATATAAAACCTATATGAATTATGGATGGGTAAATGAAAGAATGAGATTATATTGAAGGATATACTTCGTATATAAGTTTAATTAAAAATTTAGACTTTATGAACATAAATTTTTGTGAGGAAACATTGATGATCGTTTTTAATACAACATGACCCCATATTATTTATCAAGTCATGACGACACGTGACAAGAATAACACGTGACATGATTACAAATTCCTGCCATGAGTTTTAATATAGATATATAGATATAGATGTACTACCTTCGTTACCGGTTATGTGCAACGAGTAGACATTTTCCCTCTCTGCTTTATGTCAAATCATTGCACATAACCTGTAACGGAGGTAGCATTAAAGTTTAGTAATTTTTTATTTTATTTTTATGCAATTAAAGTTTAGTAAATTTAGTGGTGTGCATAGTAAAAACTCAAAATAACTTAATCATGGGCTTTTTATATAAAAGATCGATACAAATCATGCTCATGGCCCGGTGACACGGTATGTACTATGTAGAATTGCACGGCCCAGTTCGTGCGGTCGTGCCTAGCTGTAGTAAATCAAAGTGAAATATGGAAAGAGTTGACATAATTCAATCTTGAATTTTGAAAATCATCCATTCATCTTTCTGAATTTGAACCAGCTAAACTAGTTAATTTACGAGATCAAAGTTTAATACTTTAACTAGTGTGTGGCCCGGGTGATATCGGGTTGCTAGTTTGTACTTGTTTAATTTGCTAATCAAATTCGACTATTTAGATAATAAGACTTGTTGGTTTCGAGTTTAGATTTTGCTATAAACATTTTTTAGTTGTCAAACTCAATCATTACGTAATGGAAATAAATAGTATAATATAGGACACAAATTAACTTATCAAAGATAACTATAATTTTGTTGGATGAAAAAACACAATTAATAAATGACTAAGATGATAAGACTCTTAACTTAAGACTTGTTGGTCTTGAGTTCAAATCTTATTATAAGATTTTTTAGATGCGAACTTAATTGAAAAAGATCGATACAAATCATGCTCATGGCCCGGTGACACGGTATGTGGACTTGCACGGCCCAGTTCGTGCGGTTGTGTGTAGCTCTTAACGACATTATGATTTTTTTCTATACTGTAAACGAAGAGAAGATCTTGTTGAAAATAGGCGCCAAATAATCGAACAAGCTTTTTCCTAGTTTTCAACTCTCTGACAGAGTTAAGAGAAAGAGGGTGGAAGAAAGAGAGAGAACTTTTCTGGGTGTTTAGTTTTGATGCTTAATCATGGACTATGACCTGCGCTATTATACACAGCTGTTACAGTCCTACAATGGCCGCCAAAACTCCATTAATCAAGTTAAGCAGATTCATCTCCTATTCCTCAAAAGGGGTATTCTTAATTCCGTTTTAAGTATCGGAAATCGTCTTATTCAGGTTTATGCAAATTGTGGTATTATGAGGGATGCAGCTAAGGTGTTCGATGAAATGCCCCAAAGAAACTGCTTCTCATGGAACACCCTTATTGAGGGGTTTATGAAGTCAGGGAACATAAATAAGTCATTAGAGGTTTTCAATGCTATGCCTTTTAGGGATGATTTTTCATGGAATGTTGTTATTTCTGGGTGTGTGAAATCGGGCGAATTGGGTTTAGCTAGGATGGTTTTTAATGAGATGCCTAGAAAGAATGGTATTGCTTGGAATTCGATGCTTCATGGGTATGCTCGTCGTGGGTGTCTTCCAGAAGCTTTGAGGTTGTTTAAAGATATGAACTTTGATGGTGCTGAATCAGGGAAGAGAGATCCTTTTGTATTGGCAACAATGGTTGGTGCTTGTACTGATATGATGGCTCTTGGTTGTGGGAAGCAAATTCATGCTAGGATCATTATTGATGGAGTGGAATTCGATACGGTTTTAGGAAGCTCTATTGTTAATTTGTATAGCAAGTGTGGTGAATTAGACAATGCTAAACATGTCTTTAAGTTGACAAAAGAAGCTGATGACTTTTCACTTTCTGCTTTGATTACAGGATATGCAAATGTGGGTAAAATGGATGATGCTAGAAGAACTTTTGACAGTATAGCTAATCCTTGTGTCGTGGTTTGGAATTCGTTGATTTCTGGTTATGTTGCTAATGATCAACCTATAGAGGCCTTGGCTTTATTTAACATGATGAGGAATAAGGACTATAAGCCAGACTGCTCTACTTTTGCTAATGTTTTGAATGCTTGCTCGAGTATTGGTGGTGCTCATGAATATGGTAGACAATTACACAATCATGCTTGCAAAGTTGGGGTCTCTACGGATGTTGTTGTTGCTTGTTCCCTTATTGATATGTATTCCAAGTGCGGAAATCCAAGTAAAGCTTGTAAATTCTTTGATGAGCTTGAACATCATGATACTGTCCTTCTTAATTCTATGATCAATGTCTACTGTAACTGTGGAAGATTGCAAGATGCCAAGCAGATCTTTGACAGTATGCAAGATAAATCCTTGATCTCTTGGAATTCAATGTTAGTAGCTTTTAGTCATAATAGTTGTCCCCTTTCAGCTCTAGATCTTTTCTGTAAGATGAATACGCTTGAAGTTCGAATGGACAAATACAGTTTTGCAAGTGTGATCAGCTCCTGTGCTAGCATCAGTTCACTTAGATTTGGTGAGCAGGTTTTTGCAAGAACTATTGTTGTTGGCTTAGAAGCTGACTTGATTGTCTGTACCTCACTCATTGATTTCTATTGCAAGTGTGGTTTCATTAACTTGGGTCGGAAGTTATTTGATGAAATGGTCAAATTTGATGAAGCTTCTTGGAATTCAATGTTAACGGGCTATGCTACAAATGGTCAAGGAATGGAGGTTTTAGATTTGTTTGCTTCCATGAAACATGCTGGAGTTCAGCCAAATGTTGTTACTTTTACTGTACTTCTATCTGCTTGCAGTCACTGTGGATTGATTGAGGAGGCCAGGAAGTGGTTTTATATGATGAAATCTGAATATAAAATAGAACCTGAATATGAGCATTACTCATGCATGGTTGATCTATTGGCTCGAGCCGGTTGTCTTGAAGAGGCAATAGCTCTAATTAGACAAATGCCATTTAACGCAGATGCTAGTATGCTGTCTTCAATTCTGAGAAGGTGTGTGGCCCATGGTAACAAGAATCTGGGCAGAGAGGTTGCAGAGCTAATGATTCATCTTGATCCTGAAAATTCAAGTGCTTATGTGCAACTATCTGGAATATTTGCTACTTCAGGTGACTGGGATGGATCTACAGAAGTTAGAAATATAATGAGGACTAGATGCACTGAAAAGATTCCCGGTATTAGTTGGTGATGTGCCTGTATAAAGTCATGTAAGTGTTATCAACTGCCTCCAATGACCCCTTGATTGAGATACAACTTAGTTACTGACTAGTTTCACAGGCATCTTAGAGCTTTGGACGAATATCTATGTTTTACAGGAATCTAGAATATTTGATTGTTCGAATTAGTGAATTATAAATAGATGTAACTTAGCAGCAGCAGTGGCAGGTATACTGTGCTGGAAGCCTGTGTATACCTCACTGAAATAATTTACAGAGTAATGGATAATTTTTTGTCGCTGTCATTCTCTGCACATATGATGATTCTTGTTTGAGAGTATGTGTATGCAAATAAACATGAAGGTGAACAAACATCACGATTGGCCAGTGGCCATCTTGTTCATCTCATCGTTTTTTACTTCTGTGGATATATATGGATACACTAATGAATTTCATAGATTCATCCAGGTTTCGAAAAGATGAGGTGAACATTGGAGAGAAATGATTTGGCTAGAACAAACACAGTAGCCTTGAGGAAAGGTCCAAGGTATAACTTCTTCAGCTGGTTGTGATGATGATTTCATAATGGCCTGTGGCTGGAACCGGCTGTAATACATATTAATTGCTTCTCTCAGTTTGGGAAATTTAATCCAATTGAGGTATTTCCTTCTTTTTCTTCCTCTAATTTTTCATTTTATCTTGGTTAAATGTTCAAGTTTCTTATGTGCCTTGATGAAACATGAACAGAAATTATGTACTGTGTTCTGCTATCATGAGTAGCTAAAGTCACTGGGATATCATTTTTAAAAAAAAATGTGGGTGTAATATGAATACGCAATCTTTCAGAAGGTCTCCCCCCCCCCCCCTTTTTTTTTGTTTTTTTTGGCAATGATCTTTTAGAGACAGTCATTGTTGTGTATCCGTGAATGATTGTTGCTTTCTGAGATTGCTATTCCTTGATGGTTACTTCAATTTTCATAATTTAATTTTTTCCCTAGAAGAGTTATCTTTGTTTGTTTTGGAACTTTTAAGAAATATATGTAGTGGATAGAGTTTATCTATGCAACTTAATATGGTATAAAGAAAAACAGCAGAAAGTCTAGACACCTTCAGAAATTTTAAACTTAGAATATTGCATGATTAATGATCCATTGTGCATGAGTCTGGTCTCCATTCCTTCACCCATCTTTGGAGTTGCGAACAGTTAGAGGTTGATGCCCTGAACTTTACCATGATCTCATAAAAGTGTGTTTGTTGCAGGAAATTCTTGGTACTTGGAGACTTGGAGAGCTTGTAGTTTCCTTGAATCATTCTGTCACTACTTGTTGGTCTGGTAGATTAGTAACAGCAAAGACAGCCAAGGTAACTACTATTGTTATTGTCACTGAACTATAAGAAAAGAAGATTCATGTCTTGATTTCGCAAATGCGTCTACTGCGATTGCAGTTACAGTATGATGGGGTTTGCTACTCCTCCCTTAACCTGCTTTTATGAATGTACAAATCATCTAGTAGCTCTTTTGGGTCTAGTGACAAGATGAATTGAGAATGCTGGTCATTCCGTGTTGCACTCCTTCCATTTTGTCTAGGATTTTCAGTTTACTGTTATAGACACCTAGATAGGCTTATCTACAATTTCCTCTTCTTCACCTTAAATATTTAGACTTGCTGCTTATCAGCTTATTGGTGATAGAAAAACAAAGAAATCTAGCCCTAACCTATTTTATCAGCATCTATGACTACCCATATTATCATCTTGTGTCTTGTAACTCAAAGAAGTCTCATTTTTGTTCCTTATTATTAGATGGTCTTGGCCTGATGGCCTCTCGGGTGACACGACCTCACCCAATTTATGGATGAGACACACACCAAGTCACCCCTCAATTAAAATAACAAATTTCCCTCGGTAATATAAAAAGTCCCTCAACAATCCAAGTCATCCTTTCAGCGACATAAAGAAGTCAATCTTACGTGGTATAATAAGTCACCCTTCAGCCATAACAAGGCACCCCAAGACTAGTACTTGTGACTTTTGTGAGACTGGTCTCAAATAAGCTTTTGTGCTATACTAAATAATGCATTACTGTATTAAGAGTTTTGTGTCAAAAAAAGAAAAAAAAAAAAAAACCTATATGTAAGAGTTTGATGAGGCCAAATTTGACCTTCTGAAAGAATTTCTATCTTAGTTTTATACACATAGTCTTTATAATTGGTTCCTGTAAAATATTTGACTTATTCTATACAAATATAGTCCTGAATAAGCATGATAAGGAAATCTAACATAAAGTAATTGTAGATGTTGTGAATGATAAGGATTGGATGGTTGACGTAGTTATAATAAATGAGATTGAATGAAAATATGCCACACATTGAAGATGATTCCTTTGTCAATTGTCAAATCTGCTGCTGTACTATTACACATCATCCTACTGATGACACTGAGTTGATTTAACGGTAATACACAGACTGAAGTATCACGCTCTCAAATATCATGATCCCAATACCTCCCCTTCTCCCAATCAAACTAAAACAGAAAAAGAGAGAATTTCACCATTTTTGCTCTAAAATCCCTGATATCTCTTCTTGTCAATTATCTTGTGATGTTAGGTTCAATTATAATTTGCCATATATCAATTTCAAATAATGTTATTTTTCTATGTGTCTAGTTTTTTTAGGGATAATATGTCATAAGTTGACGATTTTAGTAACTATATTAATCATATTATCTTATTATTTCTATTATCAGTAATTTTAAACACCTAAAATTAGAGCATACTGAGACTAGAAATCAATACGGAGTATCTTACAATCAAAAACCTTTCCCTTGTCATGGTCCCCACACTAATCTGATTTTTAGGGAAAGAAACAAAACCATTAATTGGCTGTTTCAAATAAATAGATACCAGAATTCCCTTGTTTACCTTAACATATTGGTATTAAATCTGATTGTTGTTTCATGAACCCCCACACATACCTTATCGTACTAAGCTACTAATTTATTAACACGTTGTAGCTAAAATATTTCCAGGATCATTCACTTATGAATCTGATTATCAATATAAGATGATTGGCTTTTCATAACTAACGTGATGCCAATTTGCTTAAGGGGGAGATTTCCATTCAATTATTGATGATAAGCTATGTTTAATATATGTCAAGTTGTTCCAGCTTCATCTTGTAATTAGTAGGTGAACTTAATATTTAATTTTACTTCTTTTTCCATTATTTTACAACACTATGATCAGTTTAATATAAGAGATTAGTTGAATCTGTACACATCTGGTGTTCCCTGCCAGGCACGTGCATGACATGCGCAATATGCACCAATGGGAACATCGTTTATTTAGGTACTTCTAAGTCCATGTAATAATTTTCCCTCTCCTTTGACTTTGCTTGTGGTGGATGTTCATTTGGTGGTGGTTGTGACGATGATTGAGGGTTTCTGTTTTTTTGTTTATATAGGTATTCTATCTCATATTAGAGTTAGGGATGTGTCCAAAAGTTGACATGAATAGAATATACAGATCAGATAAGATAAACTGTAAAGCTACCAGCAGTACATCTTATTTCAAACATATTTGAGAGGAGCTTAGGCCAATTGATTGAAGACAATTTGTGGCTTCTCCAACTAATGAAATGACTTCGTCTGCACAAACAGCAACAGTTAGAAGATAAGCTATGTGGGGCCCTCTTACTCTACATAATGGACTATGATTAGACATTATTTTAATGATTCCTTCATCATAATGCATTCTTAATATAAGATTATACCTTATATTAAATTAGTTTAAGAATTGCATTTGCCTCAACTTAGAACTTCTAACGTTCCTTGTTTTCTAATATAAAAGACCCCACTTCTGAGTAACATTCTTATACTTCCATTTCTGCTGCTTCTCCCTCTACTGTTTCATCTTGCTGTTGTGCTTCTCTTTTCTGATCTAGTAAAGAATCAATGGCAGCCATAAATAGCTCCTTTTCACCACATATTGTAATTCACCAATCTGCTTCTTCTCTCAAACAGCCTGTTTTTGGAATGGTGAGGCTTAGGAAATCTATGCTTCCTGTCAAGAGAGCAACCAAGCTGCAAATTAGATCCTCCGTAAAAGATCAGGTTCGATTTGCATTTCTTTCTCCTTTTGCTTCTTTCTCATTTATCCTTTCACTACTTGATCCGTTGTTTATAGCATATATGATTTGATACATTATTTGACTGGTACTACAGGTTTTTGAAGATCATTCAACAGGTATAATTTGCTATAAAGATGACAGAGGGGAGATTATATGCGAAGGTTTAGATGAGGGTCCTCGTATACATTTGCAGTATCCTCCAACACTTGTACCAGTAAGGTAAGTTCATCTTTCTTAGCAATCTGTGAAAATTTCAAGTTTGCGTTATTATCTTATCTGACGGATGAAATTATACAGGGATGATGACGGTATCCTAGATCGTCTTCAGCAGAGATGGCTTCAGATTATGGATGGAGAAACTGCAAACTCTAGCGACCTGCTTAAAAAGTCTTGCAATGGATTCAATACGCTGCATTGAAAAAATGCAAAACAACACTAAATAATCACTGTATAAATGTTTTCTTAATTAAGACCTGTTAGTTTTCTCTCTTTTACTTTGCGACATAAAAATAGACCTTATGTTAAGCTGAAAGGACTTGGTCATGTAATTCCTACTTTTACAGGATGTAAATGAAGACTCCTACACCATGTAATTCAATATATATGATCATTAAAATGGATCATTGTTTTAATAACATTTTCAGATCAAAAATCATTCAGACATCTCCAGATCTAATCTTCAACAGGGTCTATACTAAATACATTTGTATTTTACACCAGAAGATGGAATATAACTCTGTATGTCTTTGTTTCTAATTTAGGAATAATATATGGTAAAATTAACTAAACAGAACTTTCCTCAGGGTCAAACCAAGGATTTGAAGAAGATTATCTTTGACAGTTGAGGAAGGGATGAATCAGTCTTCTTTGCCATTTCAGATCTTTATAACAAGCTGTAGTTCCTGCATGTGTATACTTAGTACAAGCCTCCCTAATTGCTACCACTCTACCTTAGAAAGTAGAAAGTTCTGATTGCAGAACAGGTTGGAGCCATTATTTTGTGTCAACATCGCATTTACATGATCAGTTCATTTGGTAATCTGGATTCTATCTTCAATATCATGTATGGAGATCAACCCAACAACATTGTTCGACTTTACCTCCCGTGAGGTTGAGGTTCCGCTACTAACTTCCAGAGCCATTTCAGGATTAATTAAGTGCAAGTTCCTTTCTTTTTCAAGTACAAGAATGGCAAGACTGGAACCCCTCCCATCTTCCACCTGAATGACAGCAAGATCAAGAATTTTGGATTAAGGTCCTGCACTCCTGTGACCTCCTTCCGAAAGGTTGATGTCGCGAATTTCGAAGTTATCCCATCATCTTTCACTGAATAAGAAGGGGCAGGTGTTTTTGTGAAAGACGCCAGACAATGTTAAGCGGTGGTTCAACTATTTGGGTTTCTGCATTTAGTTAATTTTATCTGTATCTACTAACTTCCTTCCAAAAGGGATTGGAAAAGAAAGCATCAATGGAACAAAAAGATGGAATATAAGCATCTTCACAATCCCTTTTAGACCGATTTGTAGGCTGTGGGCCAAAATATGCAACCAATAAAAGTGCGTATACACTCAGGAATACATTCAAAAAATTGATCTTGTGAAACTCTTCTATACACTGTACCAAAAAAATGTAGCAGTTCAATTACAGCTTGTAAATGTTGTAATGCTAAGGCACCTGAAGAAAGGGGACGAAAAAATAACCATATACAGCATTCAAGAAATGGGATTAGCTAACAAATATATACCCCCCACATGAGACATTCAAAACCTTCAGTTTGCCTGCCTTTTTCATGCATCTTTTTTCATTAATGATATGATCTCTTGTTTTCTAAGATCCAAGATGACTAATCAAATTTCACTAACCAAAAAATGAGACACCGGAAAAATAGGTGGATCATGTTAACCAAAAGGTATGGAAGACATTTAGCCTCAAAGTTACCTGTTTAGACCTAGAACATTTCGATTCACAGACTTCAATATATTCACGGTCATGATTCATGACCCACCTTGATCATTTTCGTCACAAAGGTTGCTTTGCAATTGGCTTGATATATTAGTTGGAGGGGACCAAGTATCAGGAACCATGAGAAAATATGTAGTCATGGCCTTACGGAACCTTTTCTTATACTGCTTGGGCGAAATTACTGTTGGAGATACATTCTTGGGACCGCCGAGGATTCCAGAAGCTTTCACCCATGTTTCCAAATGTTTATCCCAGGTATATTGTCTCATAAAATCAATGATCCCAAGAACTAGTTCATGCTTCTCTTTGTCAACTCCAACCAGCAAGGAATAATCCATTACGTCAACAGACTGCATCAGCAGCAACAAAATAGTGAATAGCATATAAATGCAAAATTTCAATGATTAACAAAAGTTATAGCCTTCATTTGGTTTGCAAACCAAGTCCGAAGGAAGTAACAATGACAAAGATTACCATCCCACACTAGTACAAACTAACTAATCATTCGGCAAGTCAACAAGGAACCATTCACTAGCACACTCTTCCTCCTCAGTTACACAAGGAGCTTCAAGGATCATAAAAAAAATCAAACATAGTAGAATATCCTTCCTTTGTGAAGCTTGAAATTCCTTCTTTTTCATCAATAAAAATAAGACTTAAACCTAGTTTGTAATTATGCTATTGTGAGTCTGCGATTTGACAAGTGCCAGAGCACATGTTTTAACTTCTGTGTTACATGACTCTGAAAATTGTTTATATCCAATATAGAGGATCAAGTGCCCAATCACATTGGTGGATCAAGGTGCAAAATGAGGAATTCAAGTAAGACGGACAGAAAGGTATAAATGTAGCGCAGGAAAGTTTTTTCAAAAAAGACAGGACAGATTCACAGAGAATTTTAAGGTATAATAACAAAAAATTCACTGTATTATTTCGGCACACATCTTATTTCCTAGCCTTCCCTGCACTTAAAACCTCCTTAGCATTAACTCATAAGTAATATTAGCTCTATCTGAAAAATATGAATGTACTTAAAGATCAGAACTTTGAATGTAAAGCCATCAACTATGCATCTAAAATTTCAAGTGTTATGCCTGTAAGAAACCTTATTTTAAAGAAGGAAATCTGGTTAACTTACAGCAAGAAAAGAAGTGTCATTCCACACTGCCCTCTCCAATAAGCGCTTTGCCTTGTTGCCAACAAAAATTGGGGAGGTAGGCATTGCTTCAATAAGATTTTGATCTAAAAGGACCTTATTACTACCACTGGAATCTGGATTGTATCGTGATCTTGAGGAGCCTTTCAGGTCATAAAGCTTTGTGACATTTCTTCTATACAAAAGATTCTCCATGACCAAAACATCCATCTTTAATTCCTTGCCTCCTTTAAGATTCTTTGTGGTAACCTACAATAGATAGCCAACAGATGAATAAGTAACAACACTATACAATGTAGCTTTACAGCTTAAACCATGCATACGCACAGCAATAAATATACTACGTACAAGAACAATTGCGGGCCACCTCTATGTATTAAAGGAAAAAATTGAATCATAAAGAAACGAACAATACTAAGCTCACTACAGCTTAGAAAAGATAATCCAGATACACTTAGAAAAATATACTAAGCAACCAAGGCAGAGGCTAATCATTAATATAATCTAGCAAGAAAAAGATCTTATGAATCATCAACATTCATTAAAAATCTGCAGAGAAAGAAAAAATGTCCAATCAGAGCAGATGTTGGATACTATTACTACATAAGGACAAAAGGTTCTAAATACATTATTCCCAAGTACTATATAGTCTGCTCAAACATATATAATGTAATCAGCAAACTTAAAGCGTCAAAAATACCTGATAGATGCCCAAAATTTTAGCTAGGCATGTTGGGCTCTTTGTGTCTATAGCTTCCATAAGATACTTAAAGTACTCAGGAGCAAATGTGATAAATGATTCAAGCTCCGTTTTCGTAACCTGTTTAATGATAAACCTGTCATCCAAAGTTTTAGCGAAAAAGACATTGCTTTTACCACCCTGGGCCCCCCATTTTTTACAGCGACTTAGTGATCTAACATAATCAAGCTCAGATGGACAGCAAATTTTCCTCAAGGCATCAAAGTGCTTTGCATAGTAACAAGTGACAGTATATTTCACTTTATCAACAGGGCCATCAACAGTAAAAGCAACTCTTATGTGCAATGACTTTGTGTACAAAAGTGGGTCTGACATGAAGGAGTTGCGTGCACCCGATGTAGATAAGATGCTATCATCTATTGAAAGACTTCTATTTGATTCGTTCAAAGAGTCATTAGGTGAAACAGATTGATGAAAGCTGGCTGATTCTGCCGCTGGCATCGAAGATGCAGACTCAATATCTTTCGGTTTTTCCCCATCATCAGATAATTGAGTGTGATAATCCTTTGAGATCAATGCATAAGAAATTATGCTGGTTGGCTCATCGTCATAAATTGGAATAACAGGGTCATTTGAACCTTCAGGCAGAAGCCACTTAGCCCCACCTTGCAGCCCCAAATCCCGAGCTGATGATATGTAAGTCGAATTACTAAACTTTTGAGTATTCCCAAGAAAGTTCTTATTTACAGATTGATAAATACTGAGAAAAGGCATTCCCAACCAGCTTATGGTGTCTTCAGCACTATCTGAGCCTTTCGAGTTTGTAGATGCCCCTGGTGAAGAAGATGATGTTGCCTTGGCAACACCCTTCTCTTCAACTCGACTCTCCAACGCCAACCTCTCCGCCACAACAGCCAATGAAGAATCCACCGAAATCGACCCCATCAATGGCAAGCTGTTTTCTTTAGTCCCAACCCCTGGATGAGTTTTACCAGTCCAAGCAGCATCAAGCCGGTTAAGGGTATCTATAAACTGACTGTCAGATGCTGCCCTTCGAACAGTTGATCCACACTCCAAAGGATCAGGCGGTTCATAATTTCCAGTGCTAGGACTGCTAGCAGAGAGGAAATCTTGTCCTACAAAGTTTTTAGTATGATCTGGACTAGCTTTAGAGTGAAAAGCAGTCTCCAGTGGTTTCACAATATTCACAGTTGCATCTTCCAGATTGGAACTCTTAATAACTTTTTGGTCTGCAGGAAGGGCTTCACCACTGGCAGCATTAACAAGGCGCTGATCCCATATGTAAGACCGGAAGAGCAGCTGCATCCTTAATCTATTAATTTCCAGGATATCATGAGAAGGATGACCCTTTTTCATCTCCCTGTTAGACAATCTCTGACGCATTTCCTGCAAAAATTAATATAATCATCTGACTAATTATTATTATTATTATTATTATTATTATTATTATTATTATTATTATTATTATTATTATTATTATTACTGTTACTGTTACTGTTACTGTTACTGTTACTATTACTATTACTATTACTATTACTATTACTATTATTATTATTATTATTATTATTATTACTACTACCTCTATTATTATATATTCCACCACAGAAACATAAACGCATTGGAGTTTAGCTATTATCAAAGCACATCCTTAGATACTAATGTGGTACAATTAACCACAATACAATGGTACTAATAGAACAAAACACAAGCACACAGCCTACGCAGAAGATATCTCATCTACTCATTGTATGAATGCAAGATTATAAACTCAAAGAGTGTTGACAAATAGATGATGAGAGTTCCTTAAATTAAATATTTATTATTTCTTTTGCCACTCTTTAAATGTCGATCACATGAGAGGACATACAATTTTGGTGACATTTCAGAGGAATCTGCAAATAATTCCACAAAAAGACCAAATGCAAATAATGCTGGATATATTACCTCAAATCCAGTCATCTCATTTTGCAGAAGTCCTTCAAGTGTTGCAATTCTTGATTCAGAGCAATCTATACCAGCACCCAATCCACCATATGTTTTATCCGCTATTTGCCTAACGGCATTGCGAACCTCATAAAACAAGAGATCTGCTCGTTCAAGAACCTAAAGCAAAGACACTTCAATGCACAATGAAAAATGAAATTGTGGGACAGAATCTTTGAAATATCATCAACAGCCATACCTCATCTGCTTCTTTCTGTATCCAGTCCTGAATCTCATAGTTAAAATCAACTTTAGCAGGTGGAACGTATACAGAATAAACATCAATTGATGCATAACGGAAACAAGCAACCATCTTCCCACACCTACGCAAAATGTAAGAATGTAGGTTGCATTGTTAATTTGCTAAAGGAAAATAATGTCAATAAGATGGAGAAAGGTTGCTAGAAGAAACAATGGGAAGCAATAAATTTTCACAGGTACAGATAATAAAAGGGAAAATTATATTCAGATAGATACCAGGATACGATCCTGGGGCCTGCCAGTGTGCGTGACTGCACGTGGAACACAAAGTATTGCCATTCTGACTAGATTGCAGATGTTGTCCTAAATCTATTTATCTGGGAGGCGACTTAGAATATAGCTAGGCAATAAATATGGGGGCTTCCATGGTTCAACCACCCCCCCTCCCTGCTGGCCCAGGTTTTCTAACCTGGTATTCTCAACAACACATGAAATTGGAACTAAGTTTCTAGGAGACAAAATGGAACCAATATCATGCTATGAACCAGACAGGAGTCACACAAATGTCAAAAAAATAAAAAAAAAAACCCACAAACAACCCAAACATGAATGAGCCCTATCCGAACTAAGTCAACCAAAATCAATCAGATAGATGATTGGATCTTCTTAAAGTTACTCAGCAATAGACCAAAATATGATCTGAAGATTAAAAAACAGCCAAACAAAACCCAACCCAAATCAACATTTCATTGACTCATCCTAACCCAAATTAAATAAACACCAGCTACACCCAATTTGACTAACCTATGTGCTAGGTCTCTTCAATCCAATAGCACGATGAGCAAAGAGCCCAGAAAATTATGCATACGACAATATTATAAGCTGGTATGGAAACTCTATATAAGCAGCATCTCATACAAGAAAGAGACAAGTAGACAGATATTAGTTGTTGCAATTATAACATACCCATAAAATCGAAGACAGTCCCTGTGTAAAGAGTGACCACAACTAGCAACCCTGCTTGCTGCAGCATGATTTGAAAAGCTTAGTTCCAAAAATTTCCCAAATGATAACCCCCACGCAGCATCTGACATCACAACTCTTCGAGTTGCAGGAGGGAAACCATCAATCCTTGGACAGCGCAGACACCTGTGCCACATCCATATCTTTCCTTCCCTTTCTCCAGTCAAAAGAATCTCTGACAACTTTTTAACTGATATTGTGAGTGTGCCTTGCCGATGGGTGTAACAATGAACATGGGCATCAGCAGGCATGTCACAGGAGCGGCACCTGTAGTTCTAAAGTCATCAGGAGAAAGTAATATCAGATTATGCCATCAAGTCGCCACAAAGATACTCCCTCAGTGTTTAAATAAGTGTTACAGTTTGACCAAACACACATGCCGAGACATGACTTTGACCATTATTTTATCTAATTATATGTTAGTAAATATAGCAAAATTGATATTATGAAAGTATACATTATAATAAATCCAACAATGTAGTATACAATAACATTTGTTTTTTATATATTAGTAAATTAACCAAGTCAAAACCATTATGTGAATAGTGAAAAAGTCAAACTGTAACACTTATTAAAACACGGAGCGAGTATATGTGCATGCAAACAAATGCAATATTACCTGATCAAATAAGTGATCTTGCAAAAACCGGCCTAAAGGTTTATCGAAACTACCATAGTATTTGATCCTAAACAGGTGAGACCTTTCACACACTGTCCCCTTCCACACACATCTTGATGATAAGGAAACTAAGATGCTCTGAATGTCAGATGATGTCGGAGGGAACTCCTGTTTCGAAGAACCAGGCTCGGTCTGGGCAATACTTATAGCATCTTGTTGGCAAGAGACAGACTTGGAACCTGATGTTTCATTTAAGCCAGTCATATTGTTCGAATTACATTCATCCTCAGCAACAGATTTAATCTCCTTCGACCCTAGTGAGCCAGAATTCACTTCTTTAGGGTGAACATGTGACACTTCACCACAAATAACTGCAGAAGCATCTTGATCTATAAAGTCTCCTGCATGCTTTTCCTTGACAGATGCTGATAGAGAAGCAACCTCACCACACCAAAGCTCTGAGCTAGAGACATTGATTGAAGGCTTACAAGTGATATTAGTGGCACTGCCACAGATAAGAGAGGATCCAGAATTTTGAATAGTGGTGTTTAAAGGTAAAGACAATGTTTTTGTCAATTCTGTATTTTGCACAGTAGTACCACCTAGAAAGGCAGTGGTAATAGCATTCAATATTTGGGGATCTCCAAAGTTTTCTTGCTTCTCATGTACAGGAATTGCAAAACCAGGTACCATTGAGATAGACCGATCGATACTTAAGGATTTATTTGGAAGTGCTACATTTAATGATTCGTTAAACAAATGCTCAGGCAAGGAAGCTCCTTCATCCGCAAGAAAAGATGTCTCCAGAGCCAAGTGATATGCAGCAAAAACTCCATATTGCACTACATGCTTCACCTTTTTCAGCTCATCTCTATCTGCACCTCTAAGTAAAATCTAAAACATGAACCAATAAAAATATTTAAGTAAATGACATTCCAAAAATCATCTACTTATGTTTCTGCATAAGAATATATATAAAGAATAAATTGGTAAAAAAAAATTAGCCACAAGCAAGTTAAAATGTCTTCCAACCTATAGTCATATCAACATAAAGCAGACAAATCTACAGGGCAAAAGTTCCATGTACAGCACAAGTTCACCAAAAATTCCCATCTGTACACTTCTATGATGAAACTTGGGACAGACTTCTTGAGATATTAAGAAAATAAATTTTCATAGCTTTTTCGTTAACAAATGAAATACTACTATAATGTTACATAAAAAGGTTCTCTGATTCAAGAATCATATAGGAAGGCTTAGAAGAATAGGCCATACTAATCATAGTATAAGAGAATTTTGCTGTCTCTCAGTCCAAATCATGTATGAAGATGAAATCAGATTAGGGACACCGTTATACCACATCCACCACCAACAAATACACTAAAAGTCAGTGGGTATAGCTACAAAATCGATAAGTAGACCAAGAGAAAATTTCTTGTTCACAGACAATGATAAAGAGTAACAAGATGATAGTGCTACTTCATTTTTAGCTGTATTCATTTAATTCAGAGCTATAGTCCTCACTAATTTCTAATGAATATAACTAAAAAGGAACCTGGTGTAGCTTTGGACATTGGTCATTGGATAGTTCTGTATCCCATCAACAATTTGACCCACACTGAATACTAAAATACATTGGAGTTTAAGAAACTTTCTAATCTCCAAACAATTGGTAGGTCATTGCATCAGTTTTTTCAACAAACAAAAAATTAAATCTCTGTCATTGCAAGCAAGACAACTCCAAGATGAAAATGCTATAATCCAAGGCTCAAAGTTTCATGCTAAAAAGAAAATGTTTTGGGCTGCTATTCCAGCATACTAGAGTTAAGTCAAAAGGTATAGTATAGCAGCCGTATATCAGGACTTACTGTGAAACCAAGTGGCTTTGGACAATCTTCAAAGTACATCAATGTCTTCATCAATTTTTTTCCAGCTTGACCAGCAGAGCCATAATCTTCAAAACACTTCTCTACATGAAAAAGGTCGCAATATCCCATCTTTTGTCCAGAAAGATGGTCAATTGAGGGAACAATTTGAGCTCCTGTGCAGCGTGCTATACGCTCAAGAAGTGGTTTCTTCATATTGAGAGCAAGAGAAATGTCCTTTTCAAGAATGTATTCTTGTGCTTGTCGAGAAACTGACTTCTCTACCAACAACACGTTAATGTGCTGAGCTTCAATCTTTGCAACTGCCATCTTCAAATGATCCATTTCCTGATGAAAAAATATATAAAAAATTAAAAGGTGGTCGGAGAAAATCAGCAATCAAAGTATCTCATTTGCCATTTAAGTAACACATTCCAGGTTACCCTGACACAAAAGCAGAAAAGATTTTCAAAACCTGCTGCAGAAGAGTATCAATACTTGAGAATAAGTTGGAAACCCGCTGATATTCCAGAGCTCCACATAGGATCATGAGACGAGGCTTCTCGATTCTTGTTGCCATCCGACGATGTGCAACATTCTTTTTACACACAATTCCTTTGACAACCATACTAAGAGCAACAATACCAAAATTCTGCATCAAGAAGTGATCAAAAAGAAAAAGAAGGATAGAAAAAAGCAGAAGTCCGACGATCTTAAGGAGATATATTCCACAAAGATATGCATCTTCTTTCATTAAGCTGATAAAAGTGCTTACCTCTCTGAGCGACATCCACTGGCTATGCATTTCACCTTTACATAACCTCCAGGATCCATCCCCCCACCTCTGCTCGTGTCAGGTTTCAGTAGTGTAGCAACCTCCCAGGAAAGACCAGTAATAATTTCAAGCCAACTCTCTTTGTTGTCGTCATCAGTAACTGGAATGTTCTCAACCTGCAGAAGTTGAGATACCAGAGCCCTAAAATGTCCATCAACTACATTCTTCATAATATTACTCTGCTCTTCAACAGAGCTTTCCTTTTCATGATACTCATCACTACCGAAACTGCTAGATGTGTGCAGATGTCTCCACCCTCCAGAAGCATCTGCATCATCATCATCATCAAATAAACAAGAAATTCTATCATCCTCTTCATTCTCAGGTTCAGGCGGAAGCCAAAGAAGTCCATTGTTCTCAAAATCAACAGGCTCAGTGTTAACATCCTCAACAGCGCAAAGAGATGAAGATGCTTCACATTCATCACCAAAATCATTATCTTCTTTCTTCTTATGTTGGTGTACACCATCATCTTGCACATCATAGCTGCCCTGAAAAGCGGAACAACTCAAGCCTTTGGTGTCACAATAACCCATTTCAGGAACCTGATCATGTGACTCATAAGCATTTTGCATCGCATTGATTTCCAATGTACCATAATAGCCATTAGCCTGTGAACAACTAGTTGATTTGGAATCCATATCATAAACACCAAAGACATCATCATCATCATCATCATCACTCCTATTAACCAAAAATTAATCAACACATCAACCACTATATCTCCAAGGTTTTGCATCATAATGTTGATAGTGTTAAACAATGCAACAGAGTAAGAACATCATCATTCATGGGGAAGAAGCATTAGCAGCATAAAAATGAATAAATAAATATGAGGGGGAGAGAGAGAGAGAGAGAGAGAGAGAGAAAGAGAGAGAGAGAGAGAGATCAAATTTCTATTCAGAAATTCAAAAGAAATGAGTAATATGTAGTGTAGCTCTATTAATACTTTTAAAGGTGCTAATGATTATTTTAGAGCCCTGTAAATCTGAAAAGCAAGTCAAAATACTGATATATGACGTCTCAAATCCCAGACAAGAAAATCTTAAAGAGGCAGACAAAAGTTGCTTGAAAGAAATGAAGCTAATAACAGAATACAATTTCCTCAAAAAAAAAAAAAAAAAAACAGCATGCATAGTAGAACTTGAAAACAGCACAAATTTACAGCAACAGCCGCTTACTATTGCGGAAGGAATCCTTTATAAAGAGCAATAAGGAGTAAAGGAAAGTGGACAACAAATTTAATAGGCAACACCAGCAATGAGACAAAAAAAAAGGGTTCAAGATGAAAATTTGTATAAACTAATCAACTGCAAACATTATGGAGCTTCTTCAGCCAGAAAGGAGAAGGGATTGAACCTGTTTGTACCCGATCCACATTGATTAACAGATGAATCATCTGCATAGGGGGCAGTGAAAGTGCTCCTTCCTGATCCCTCAGTGCCCAGGACATCTACAGACAGATCCATCAAAGCTGATTGATATGGACTGTGAGAAAAACACTCAGAAGACTGTTCACAGATACCAACTGACATTGAACAAATAGAAACATTGCTACCATAAGCAGATTCACTAGAAGTTGAACTGGCATCACTAGCTGCTGAGAGTGAATGATCTATATCGTGAGACCCATAAGGGCCACGACCAACATTAGCTAAACGCTGCTCCTCTTGCCTGAAACAATAATTACACGCCCGAACCTTCTCCCATTCACCTAGCAAATTACTGGGATCAACACTACGAGCTGGAACTGAATTTTCTGTACATTTTCCACAAAAGATTCGACCACAAAGCCGACAATGGTGTCTACGATTGAATATTGTAAACTGGGCATCACACTCATAGCATACCCTACAGCTATGGTCAGGCATCCAAAAGGACCTTGACACATTAGCAGAGTTGCTCTGCCACGGGAGCCATGCCTTCAGAATACCAAGTAGATCAAAGTCTTTCTTGTTTGATTCCTCCATCTACTGACAATCCTCCTTCCCCACTCATTGTGCAATGCTCATTTGAATGCAAAATGACCAAATGGTCACCTCACATCAAAAGGGCAACACCTTCAAGTGGGGTTGGAGGAATGAACTCCAATTCGCCTAAAATCTAATTAATCCAACAAAATAGTCCAGGAAACAATTCAAACATCCCATACACAAGCAACAATGCCAACATTAAGCAATGCCCAAACCATGCTATCGAAAGAATCAAATGCCAAATCCCAATTACAGAAGTAGGTCTAGAATGCACCACCAAGCCAACACTGTTATCTCCTCCCAAGATCGCGAACCAAAGTAAAACCCGAATCAGAACAAACTCGAATGCAGATTCTTTACCAGTATCAGTTCAAACTTCTACAACCTGTGAACACAATTAGAGTCCCACAACTTCAATTTACTAACACATCCAAAAAAAAAAAAAAAAAACTCCCCCAAATCCTTGATCTCTTTTTCTTCGTGTGCTCTTTCAATCTCAATCTCCAAAATATGTACCCAGATGCTTGAACAATGTAGCTATAATCAAACTCATTAATAAGCACTACCCACAATCAAATTGAACACAAAAACCCTAAAATTCTCAAACATGCAGAAATTAGAGCTTATAAAAACAACACCCACATACCCAGAAAATATAAGTTCATATAAACGCGCTTACTTACAACATGCAATCAAAATTCCAATCTGTCATCAATCACTTCTTAACACGGAATTCATTAGATAAAAATCCCAACTTTTTAAAAAATCCAAAAAAAAAAACCACTCACGCAATATAATGATTGATTAAAAAATTCTCAGATAATTGCCTAATAAATTAAAATTCACGTCATCAATCAAATACAAACACAAAAAATTGGCCTTTCTTCAATATAAAATTCGAAAATGTATAATTACAGAATAAAATAAAGAATTATAAAATGGGAAAATCATATGATTATGTATACCTTGATTAAGATGTAAACAATGATCGCCGCCTTCCCAAATTAGCTCATTTTCTTCTCCTCAAATTGCATGATCAGCCCACTTAATTATTTACAGAAAATAAAAATTATAAGAAGGTGTGAATTTCAAGGAATTTGACGGCCAGCTATGAATTAGCAAATTCAATTCCACCCATTACGTAATTTTCGGATCAAATTCGAGATTAATGAGTATTAATTTAATTATTTACTTGTAACTTAATTATAAAAAAACCTGTTTTTATAAATGTTTGGCTTTCCCTCTTCTTTCTTCTTCTGTTCGATGTATTACAGCCTTACAGGCTGCATCGATTTTCAAATTGTTTTTCGATTTTGTTTTTTTCTGTTTTTTTTTTCTTTTTCTTTTTTTTTTTGTTTTTTTTTGAAGAATTTGTTTTTTTTTTTCTGTTAAGAGAGAAATTGAGAGACCGTGAGAGCGAATGAAAAAAGAGTGTGCAAATAGCAATTGTTCAGACTTTTCTACTTTTAAACATGTCTTTTAAAACGGTATTTTTCTTGCCCGTTACCAAACTAACCTTGCCAAATATTACTATCGGCCAAACTTGATAATTCTAACAAATTGAAATTTGTTTATGCTCAACCTAAATTACTTTTAGATTAACTTAGTAAACTTGCCAAAATATTTATTACAACAAGATTAAACTTAGTTTATTTAAGGAATTTTTTTAATTATCTAAATTTATTACAAACCAAGTTTAAACTTTCTAGTTTAAAAGGGAAGAAAAGGTAGGTAGTGTGATTTTTTTTTTAAAAGGTAACATGAAGAATCCTGCCAGGTCGGAATTTCTCAAGGGTCAACTCGTTATTTTGATCCAGATTAGCAAATTAGACAATTTGAGAGAGAGTAGAGTGAGGTGAGGGCTAGAATTTTGTGTTGTCCAGCAATGTTTATTTCAATATGAAACGAATTTGTAGAGAGCATCAACATATATCAAGTTGGCTTAGACTTGTTTCCATTTGCCAAACTACACACTGTGTCAAATAACTGAAGCTTAATAGACAAAGGTTAGGGGATAAATGCTTAGATCTATCTTGAAAAGGAGAAGAATAATAGACACAAATGTTTGAGGTAAAGGTGGAAAACGATTTATGAGTGTACTAGTACATCATTTTTCAGAACTACCATACTATACATAGATTAATTGTTGCCAACCTAGAATAATTTCCCTGAGTTTATATTGTATGTCAAAATACAATTAAGCTATTAAGAAAATAGCGAATAAATTATAAATAAACACACTATTTACAATTCCTCCTATATTTTAATCTCATAATCTTCTTCTAGACAGTATGATAACTAGATGCTGTAAAAGGCACGAGAATTAGATCTTGTGAAAAGTGTAATACTAGTATTCGATATCAAATTCATTAACTACTAACCATATAATCTTTGACTACAAAAAAGACAGCAGGAAGCCTGCTAACATCTCTTCTAGTAGTATAAATCAAAGTCAATGGACAATAGTTGAAACAACCCAGTAGTCAAGTCAGCTAATACAATTTGTCCGTCAAGTCAAGTAGTACAAATCGCTATTAGATATCAAATCACATCTCATTGCTATAGGGCCATAGCGTATTCGGTCGTGTTCCTCAAAACCGATCCCATCTTCGGAATGCATCAATAGATTCTATCTATATATTCAATAGAAGCCATAAGAGTTATGGTTAATATAAAAACCACATACTATAAGTCTAAAAAATTAAGAGGTTTATGGTATAATCCAAAGGGAAAGAGAGAGAACTAAATAAAAGCATCAATAAATCATTAAAATGCATGTGAATATCCGATCATCTATATGGGTTCCTGTCATCTTCTAATGCAACAGCCAGCCAATCATAAACCAGATAAAACATAAACAAAAGACTTAGATCTAGATTCAGCTATTAACCACATGCAAGAACATTATGTTTTATGTTAGAAGAATATCTAATCATCCCTCCTATTTGCTACAAGAAATATTAAATTAACTGACTCTAATTTAATTGAAGCTAGACTAGCAGTATCTACATCAGTAAATCACACAAAATATGATTTCTACATCAGTAAATCACGAAAGCTGATTTCGGACTCATCAGAGTACTACAAGGTAGTTATAATGTTCTGCATATTCAAAGCTTTGGAAGAGTCATCACAAGAGCATTGATAAATCAAAGGAGATGCCTAGAAAAAGATGCAGCCTGGCAAGGGGTCATAAAATGCATCCACATTATTTACATTTTGGTGTGAGGATTGAACCTTAGTAAACTTAGGTAACAAGACTTTGAACACAACAATAACAGACTCAAATCTATACATGAAGGAATTGAAAGAGCACAAAATTGTCCAGTGTAGCTATGGGACTCACAGTTCGCCATTCTTACCATTGTTATTGCCTCTAACAAGACTAACACCTAAGGACAGGACATATGTATTATATACACATTCGTTGCACTCGCAATCACAGAGTAGCTACTTAATACTGTACTTATCTGCCTAAGTTTGGGCTCCTTTCACATCTCTGACAGAGTTCAGAAGGTATTCATGTATTCCAGATCAGAAATATCTTGATTCCATTTTGCAACCTTAATCCTTCAACAGCAAATAGAAATATAGAACATAACTCCTTCAAACAACCCCATAGTATAGCTTCAGAATTAAACACCAGAACTAACTCACTAAGGGCAGTCAAGCACAGCAATCTCGCATAAGCAAAACACATATTTAGCAAGCAACCTGGCAAGGGGTCAAAAAATGCAACAGCCTTGTTTACATCTTGGTGTGACTATAACCCAGTAAACTGAGGTACAAAGATTTATCTTTACATATCCATTGTTCATGTGTTGAAACTGCAAATCAAGGAGCTTTAAGACGAGAACGTAAGAGAATTGAAACAGTCAAACATAGTGCAGCGGAATTATGAGATTCACACTTCGTCATCATCACTATTGGGCATAGGCATTGGCCTAATGCCTCTAACAAGACTAACACATAAGGAACAATAAGAGAGACCATTCGTATGCATCGTTGCACTTGCAATCACAAAGTATCTGCCTAAATATGAATTCTTTTCACATCTTTGACAGGTAATTGCACATATTGTAGATCAGAAACCTCTTAATTCCAATAAATTTCGACCTTAATCATCAAAGTGGAAAATGCAAATAACATAATCAGCAGTTCATAATAGCACATATACATAAAGCTAAACCATAGTAAAACTTCAGAACTACGAGCAGTCGGGTACTGCAATCTCACATAAGCAGAACACATTTTCAGCTCAGCAGCTCAGTATAACAATATCACATAAAACAACATCATAATCAAACTTCAAAGCTAAACACCAAACAAACAACGATACGAGCACTGCAATCTCTCCCTGTCTCCCCTTCCCTCCCTATCACATTATCACTACAATGCTACATTCATGTTTCAACAGAGAAAACAAGAACAATCTTTTTAAAATACTTGCAGCTGAAATACAAATCATGCAAACATGAACATGTCCAACTCAATAACATCAACAGATCAAACTCAGGTTTTCGAGCACTAATGTAGTCCATCAAAAATTGTATTTTGGGTTTTCAAGCTCAAAATCATATAACCCTCTCTGTTTATCATCAAACCCAGATTAAAAACATTCATCAGAAATTCTAAACTGGAATTTTCAGTTCAATTTTTTTTTTTTCCCTAAAAAAAAGGGTTGAATTAATCATTCTAATGAAAAAAAAATATAGAGCAACATCAATCTTGTCAAGTTGAAACTATCACAAGCAAGAGCTGGTTTATGCTCCAAATTTCAATTTAAGCAGCTGTATAACTTACTAATTTTGGCAGTTCTTAAGCCAATTAGCTCGGCCAGCTGCTAATCTAATTATTTTACAATTTAAATCAAAAAAAACAACCCCCAATTTCCAGAAAAATCAAAATGCAAAAAAATTAAACAGCAATCATAGATTAACGATTATAGATAGCAATTAAAAACAAACGATCATGTATAACAGTTGGAATTCAACAATTGAAAATAGCAATTTGGAGATAATTGCGAATTCAAAACTGACCAATTTCATTTCAAACATGACTTTTCCCCAAATGAAGGAGTAGGGTTTTAATCAGTGAGAATTTTTGTGTAATTTAGGGTTTTTGATTGATTGCTACTCGTAGATGGATGACAACTCCAGAAAAATGGGCTTTTCGTTATTCAGCTCATGTTATGGGCCTTTATTATATTGGGCCATTATTTTATTGGGCCTTTACTGCATGACCCTACGAAACCGCTATAGGACTATAATCTGTTTGGCAATGAGCGTTTTGGAGCAATAGGTCTGTGGTAGACCCTGGTCCATCTAAAATAGGTGGACCACTAGCCCAAATACCACAATCCATCATCACAAACACATTACAAATAAAGCAGCCCAACCTCTCCTTTCTTTCTTTCCACTCCAACAACACTCTGACATAATAAATTCTGAACTTATAGCCATCAACACAAACATTACGAAAAATTCTCGTTTCGCTCTCCTCTGAAAATTCAAGCATAGCCATGGATGAAAAGCAAGAAAACAATGCAGAAAGATAAATAAAATTTCTGAACTTATACTTTGTTTAAATTTCTTTGAATTTGCAATTACTCGTTCGTAGTTGTTATAATTTGTTAAAATTTCATTCGTAGTTTTTGTAAATTGGGTATAATTTTTGAACAATTTTCACATTTTTTTAGGGACCCAAATTCTTCTGATAGTGATGAAGATCAATTGTAAGTAAATTAAAACCCTATATAATTGTTGAAATTTGAAATTAAATGATGAATTGAAACCCTGAGTTATTTGAACAGGACAATTTCTCAAATCCGAAACAAAAGGAAGAAGAAATTGGATATAACAAAGTCCAATTGTTGATCCAAAGATTTTAAAAAGGATAGACAGGTAACATTCAGAAAATGGAGAAACCAAGTAAATCATAGGCTCAAATATTTCGTGTTTTTAGTTCATATAATTCGTAATTGCTGTTCAAATGATTTGTGGTTTTAGTACATATAATCTGTGATTATCGTTCAAATATTTTGAGGTTTTAGTTCATATATTTCGTGATTACTTTTCAAAAATTGATATTGTTATTTTTTAAACTAAGAAGCATTTATTTTATAAGTTCAAATGTTTTGTGTTTTTAGTTCATGTAATTCGTGATTACTGTTCAAATATATTGTGGTTCTAGTTCATATAATTTGTGATCAATGTTCAAATATTTTGTGGTTTTAGTTCATATAATTTGTTATTACTGTTCAAATGTTTTATGATTTTATTTCATATAATTTGTGATTCCTGTTCAAATTTTGATATTGTTATTTTTTAATCCAAGAAGCATTTGTTTTATTACAGCAACCAATCTAAACTTCAACCCAAATCCACCACCCAACACCAATCCAAGAAGCTGAGAATCAAGCTCAAGAGGAGGCTGAGAATCAAGCTAAAAAGGAAAGTCAAAAGGAGACTGAAAATCAAGCTAAAAAGGAAGCTCAAAAGAAGGCTAAGAAAGAGTCTCAAAAGAAGAAAGTTCAGAAGAAGCAAGAAAATGTTAAGAAGAAGATAGAGGAAGTTCAGAAGAGTGAAATTAAGGAGAAAAAAAGAAAAAGAAGAGATAATGTTGATGATTTCTTTGATCTAGACAATA